AGGGAACGAACACCTTTTAAACAAAACACTTTTAAAACCAAGCAGCTTCAAACCAAACCAAGCACCTTTTAAACCAATTTTACACTCTAAAATTACAGTACCAGGCAGTCCAAAGTTCATTTCCCACTTTTTCTGCATTTTTGTTCATAAGTGAAGCAAAATTTTGTGAACAGAGTTGTTCATAAGTCGAATTGTTCGTAGTTCGTAAGTCAAGGCATCACTGTATTTCGCTCTGGTTTTGTGGACATAGCACACAATTATTATTACTCTCAAGTCACTTCTGACTTACGGCAATGTTTTCCAGAGTTTTCTATGTATCCAGTATTTAGAAACCTTTACAACTTCCATCAATGAGGTGGAGTAGAGCTAGGACTGTGCAGCGTGCCCAGGATACAAAGGCCGACTCTTCTAAAAGTCACAATCAGGAATTGTACTCCCAGCGTCTGGTTCTTCAGCCAGATACATTACTCACTGAGCTGTCCAGCCAGTTGATAGAGATACAGATCACAAAAAGTCCTAATGAAGTCTATGATTTAAGGCCACTACATGGGAAACTGGCATATTACTAGTCTAGCTTTTCTGTTTTTGTCAGAGTTCCAATATAGCAATATGCAAATAGGGAGAGGCCAAATACAAGATGAAAGGCATATAAGGGCTTGATTGATCGATACCTATTCCTGACTATTTTTCTGCTCTTGCTTTTTTGTAATGGTGTGAGTATCACTGACTTGATGGTGTTATGACTGGTAGACAAGAGGTAAAGGAGAAGATTTTAATTTGAAATAATCTAACCAGTTCTTGTTGATGAGAAGAAGTTAGTTCACCTGTCTGGAACCTAGAGAAACTTTGACATGACTCTGTTGTGGCTTAGTGAGGCTCAGAATGTAGCAGGACATTGTACTGTTTAGTGAAACAGGGATGAAATCTCATGGTATGACTAGTCAGTGGTTTGTTCTTGCATCCATGTTCTATTTTAGAGACCACATGGATTGCTTTGAATATCACTGTAATACTGCAGACAGAAGTCCTGCCATACGTGTTTCTTTAGGGCAGGAGAAAGTTGTTGCTGTCTGAAAACGGCCTCTCCAGATGATCCAAAACATGTTGGTCCCTGAGCATGATTGCTGTTGCTGTTTAGTCATTAAGTCGTGTCCGACTCTTCGTGATCCTATGGACCAGAGCACACCAGGCCCTCCTGTCTTCCACGGCCTCTCAGAGTTTGGTCAAATTCACATTGGTAGCTTCAGTGATACTGTCCATTCTTCTCGTCCTCTGTCATCCCCTTCTCTTCTTGCCTTCACACTTTCCCAACATCAGGGTCTTTTCCAGGGAGTCTTCTTTGCAAGAAGAAGCATGATAGTGCCTTACTAATAAAAATTTTATAGCTGTTTGTGCCTGGCTCTTCTTCCTATTAATTGACCAGTACACAAAAGGGGAGAGTAGGGGAAGCATGTATCATAAAGGAAGGAAATTGACAAGCCTGAGCAATGCACCTTGTGGTCTCTGCTATAGCAGAATTGTCTTGCACCACTTCCTTACTCAGTAGTAAGCCTGGAGACTATCCATTATCTTGCTTTTTGTAAAAGTGGAAGAGATTAAGAAGATGAGTATATTTTCTTCTAGCATTGCCTACATTCCTACTTCCTTAGAAGGGTGATAAAGTGGGTATATCAACTGGCCAGTGGCTCTGCATTAAATGCTAGATGGAGGTGTGAAAGTACCTAAATATAATGTGTGTCCTACCCATTCAAGTGGGCAGATAAGGCATTGTGTCCCTTTCCAGTGCATGTGTATCAGAAACCATTGTATCACTGGAAATGATTGCAAAGAACTGTTGGGACATAGATATCGCATCCTATTGTGATGAGATGTGCTTGCCTTGTAAAAGGGCTTAATTAACTTTTCTTCAGATCATTGATGTTAAAGATTAGCTTTGTGTTTGGCCAAGTATTTTTCTTAAACATGAGACTGATTCCTATTGGTGCAATTACATAAAAACAAATTTGTGAAGGGAAAGACCAACCTCTGCGGGTCTTTCTGGTGGAGCCGACTCTCTTAAAAACCTCAAAGAGGACACAGACCAGCCCTCCTGCTTCCCCGGGTCGAAAGCAAGACCAGGGTACCCACACTTTGAACTTAGAGGAAACCCCCCCAAAAGGGGTGGTATCCTGTGCGGTGGATACCAGTGACTTGGAAGAGACATTTAAAGGGTTAATGGCTGCTGAGCCAAATAAGGAAGATTTGGAGGGAAAAGAGAAGGTGG